ACAGCACGTGGAGACATGGGAATGGGTCAGCAGGGAACAGTCCCAGGCCACTGAAGACAACTGACAGTGTATTCTCAGCATTGAACCCCAGAAGACTCAGTTGCTGTGCAATTCTGCCTGGACACGTGGGGTTATGTCATCGTAATGAAAACATAAACAAAGCAAAACCAACCACAACAAAAAAGGAAAAGCCAAAATAAATAAATAAAAAAACCCTGCAGAAGCTGTCACGTGTAAACTCTGCCAAGACTCATTTCTGCAGCGTCTTTTTAGTCGGTGTCAATTTGTTTTTCCAAGACAGAAGCCTCAGCCTTTCATATCAATAACTATGAAAATACATTTTCAGGCCACCTTGCTTAAAGTCCCCCATTATGGCTGTTAGATAACCATCTGCCTTCTAAGTGGCTATTGTTACCGTGAACTGTCTCTTTCATACCATTATCTTGCTGAAAAGCCCTTTCTGAAAGTAGTCCATTAGAGCAAGGGAAAAAAAACCTCTGAGCACGGCCACGTAGCAGAATCAATGGCTCCCTTTGATCTGCAAGCTCAGTCAGTACTACAAATTTAAGAAACAACTAGGTTTTGCTTTGCTAAGCAAAGCCTGTTAATTTGGCTCATCTGCACTTAGAGCATCTTACTGAAAATGCCATCTGTATCAGACGTTTTGAAGACTTTGGTGCAATATTCACTTAGCTTAGATAAATAATTTAGTAAGATTCATTAAAAAACAATCAGTGAATTAATTTTGATAGTGTACATCTATGCATGGCAATTTTAAAATTCAGTCCTCTACTACCCTGAATGGCGGTGAGGATATTCACAGTGGATGAAAAAAATGCTGGTGACTGATGGACAAAGACTGAACATAGATTTTTCTTATTCTAGTCATGGAATTTCTTCTGAAATCTATTACGTGTGTTTGAGTCCTATTACTGGCAAGAGCAAAATGCATACACACTACAGGGAAAATAAGACCCTTTATGTCTGTTGCAGGCCACACATACGGTACAGGAAACTTAACTCCTATCATGACCAAAGAAGTCCACAAAAACAACATTTCATGCTACCGAAAGGAAATCTTTTGCGCTGATATATAGGACAGGAATGTATACCACTGAAATCACTGTAGATAGCTATAAAACACTACGCAATATATAGAAATATCCTAAGAACATACAAAATTTACCAGTAGTGACCTGAAAGTGCAAAGAGTACATATAACTAAATGCCAAGTCCTGATCTATAAAATCCTTTATGAATGACATACAAGCTGATAATTACAAAGCATCATTCAGACCACAAAACAACAAATAAAACAAATAAAGAAAAGTATTCTTTAAGAAAATCAAAACAATGACAGCATTGGGAATGTTATCTTTGGGACTCAGAAAACCATTTCTACCTTGATACCTACCAAAGCCAAGGAAAATATATGCTTGAAGAGGGTAACATAAATAAGAATGCAAACTACCACAGAATGCCTCAGGACTATTACCTCTGTATGTCTCAGCCTTTAAATCCAGCAAGCCATTAACTGTTTGTTCTTAGGCATCTCACAATATTTTGCAGTGATCTTTCAGGAATTAAATACAGGTCTAAAGAAAGCCTTTGAACCTCCTTCCAATGATTGTTTTAGGCATTGTGTGGAGTTATACAAATATATTTCTGTGAAAACTGAAAGCCCTAGCAAATATTAAATTTTCTATTACCTTTTGAAATAAAAAAACACAGATGGCTTAAAGACAAAAATGAGTTTTATAAATACAAAGTTAATTTGAGCATTAAATTGTATTTTTACTCTCACAAAACCATTACCCTGAATCAACGTCAGTACGTCGCAATGATTCAAAATACTGACGCCCTGCGACAAGCTACTTTCCCATTTTCCTTTTAAGGATATGATTGTCCTTAAAATATGTACATAGCAAGCAGCCAAACGAACCGCCAAGAGATTTGCAAAATGTACTTACACTGGGTATGCAATAGAAAGCTTGAGAGCGCGACTGGGGAGCACCTGGCCTCAGCAGGCAGCGTGGCCGCCCTCCCGCCCCGCGCTCGGCCGCCAGCCCAGGGCTCCCCGCGCCGCGCCGCACCGCACCGCACCGCACCGGGGTGAGCACCGGGGAGGAAGTCACCCGCCAGCATGCAGAGGACGGAGGGAAAACGGGGCAGAAAACAAAGGAGAGAGAGAAAAATGAAGGGAAGCCAAAGCATTTTAATGATGATCCGTGTTAGTCATTATGTGAGAGGGAGCTAGTCTAGTGTCACTATTGGTTTCTCGATACAGACATGCCACAATGCAAACAAAATGCATAGGATGAATAATTTGCCACACACAAGTCCTGTAAAGATGGTAGCTGATATCTTCTAGTAGTTTTAAAGATGCACCACTCCTACTACCTGTACTCAGTGCTTCCAGTTGTTATGGTACCACCCCAAGCTCACCACATCCTCCCTCCCTCTCAACTTCCAGTACCCTACAGAATCTCTCTGCACAATTTGTCTTGAAAACAAAATGGGGAATTATGATTTTTCTGCAGAGTTGTCATGCAAGAAAAGATGTGTCCCTTACAGTCAGACAAAAACAAAAGAACAGAAAAAGGAATGTTAGGTTTAGGGCTGAGGACCAGGATAATATTCCATATTCTGTACACTCATCCTTGTGAGGGTATTTCAGCTTGAACTTTCTAAAATGCACAATCAGAGTCAGGCCAAATGCAAATCCCTTTCTCAGGCAAAGGAAACCACCGCCAGCGTGTTTGGAGGCAGATTTACAGCACATCCCCTCGGTCTGTGCGCGGGAGCGTGCACGCGTGGCCGTGCTCGCACGGGTGCCAGTGTGCACGGGTGTGCATGTTCACCTGTGTGCGTGTACTCTAGGAGGAGGTGCGTCCTGACTACACATGCATATGTACAACACGTCTGTGTGAGCAGGCATGTAGAAAACCACACACATATACGTTAGAAAGAAAACATATAAAATAATCTTCTTTGAAGTGTATTAAGGTTCTTACTCAAACCATGAAAACAGGGACTGCTGAGGAAAACTAACGCTTTTCTCCCTGTTCACTGGGGCGTTGCAGTTCGGCATTAAATCCTGCAGTACTTTCAGAAGGAGATGCCAATTTTACCCTTGTGACTATAAGGTCATTTCCCCAGTGAACCACACATATACATATATACAATTCTTATTATTGTATTTCCTGTTTTTTTATGGTTTATCTATTACCTTAATATCCTTCAAATGTATATTCTGTATATTTATTTTCCTTTTTTCTTTCAATTTAAGAGACAATAAAACCAACCGCTATCTAAGATCAGACCCATTAGCTTCAGTGATGTGAATTTAGGATTCTCTGCATAATATAGACATGTGTATTTTTAAAATGTATATTATTATTCAGATACACTGGAGCATATATTTTATATTAACTGTGGTCTGATGATTAAATACTTATACCAAAATATTTTGTAAATACATAACATTTACCTTTAGACTTCAGTGATTTTTGGAGCTTTTTCAGTGTATCATAAAAATATGTCCTCAGGCACATTAAAACCCTATTAAATTTCTTTGAAATGTTGTCAATGCCCATGTACAGTAGCCACTATTCAAAAGTGTCCTGGCCATTAATACATTTCTCATAAGATCCAAGCTCATCAGACCATTTTATGTACCACTAGCTTACCATATTTCTTTTTCTCTCTTAAAGTAAAATTATTCTGACGTTATTAAGAATGAAAATAAAAAGCAACAAGAACCCAATCTTTCTTTAAATAGTCAAAAACTAATTTTTTATATTTTAAAAAATAATAATTAAAAAACATGTTTCTTTCCTGGGTTCCTTCTCTGTAAGGTTTAAGCCCAGAGCAACTTTGTCTAAACCCCTGAAAATAGAGGTTTGCAGTGGCAATGCTGTCAGAACCTCAGCTCTGACACACGGAACGTGCCACTGGAATAAAATCAGCACTTCAGACTTACTCATCTGGGGATGCATGAGCCCATACAAAACAGAGTTTTGCTCTAATTTAAGGTACTTACACAAAGTTCTATCATTTTAGAACTGTAAAATTATCTACCTATAAAAACTAACTCTTGCTTAAACTCTAGATAATACAGACAGGTGATTTTTTTTTTCATAAAAAATCTGTAGCACTGAGTAAATCTGCTAAAATATGTATATATTTACACATGGCAAGAAAGTTATTGTATAAATGTGAACAGTGTGTATATATTGGCATTTAGTAAAATGTTTCCCTGAACCTGATTGTATGCATTATCGGACAAGTATTGATGTAAACATCTGAAACTATGTCAGGTGTCTCTGTTACCCATTTATATTAGACCAGATCAAAACCAACCAGACAGACAAACAAAAATATGTTTTCCTGTTAGACAAGTCCACCTAACTCCTTAGTTAGCTACTGCACACAAGTCAATCAAGTCTGCTGCAGAGCAGTGCTCTCGTTCCTACAGCAGGTAAAATACCTGTTACGTTGGTTGTTTTTTGCTTGGCATTTTTTCCAACATCTTGTAGAGCAAACACCATTTTCAGAGCCAGGCACCCACCCTCCACTCCTCCCCCAGAAATGATTAAAAGGTAAGTGTATTGGAGAACCTCTCGTGTCGCTCCTTCTGTAACTCTCTTCCCTTGAAGAGCTCATGGCATTGCTCTGCATGAGGAAGGATGCTCATTTAGGTTCATAATCCAAGTCCTGCTTCCAAAAAGGCATGTAAAAATGAACCTCCCCAGTGTTCAGTGCCGCAGAAAAAAGATACAAACATAAAAAAAGTGCTCGAAAAGAAGTCGACTTTTTATATTCAGCCATACGGTCTAGTAAGAAAGGATTCAGAAGTGCAGGCCCGTGGAGTACAGTGAAGTAAGCCATTGAGGTGCCTTTCTTCAGGTGATGCAAAACTAATTCATTATCTGTGGTCTCCTACGCAGACTTTTACACACCAACCTTGCTGTCCGTCTTTGTCTCCAGCTCTAATTCAACTACTTTTTGGCACTGTCTTGGTATGTGGCAGCTTTCACTGTTGTCCCTGCTAAGCCCCTGTTACTGATCCGGCGTACCAGTACTTTAGAGACAGGGATTTTTGTTCTGTGCATCTCGCTTTTGGCCAGGTGATGGTGTGCGACATGATGGCTGTTGCTGGCATCTGCTCCATGGCTGGCAGGATGCGACGAAAGGTGTTTAATGCTGATGGGGATCTTGGAGTCCTTCACGGTGCTCGAGGGTGTTTTCAGTGAGCACGTGGTCGTTATCGGAGACACGGGCTTGGAGCGTGGCACACAGGTGACCACTTCATCCGTAGGCCCCGCTGGTGGGTTCTCATCCGGCTCGGCATAGAGGTCGTAAAGAGCATCCCCGCTGTAGCTGTCCCTGGGAATGGTCTCCTTTTGGATGCTTGTGGAACCATCTTCCTCGGGACCAGGGGTGGTGGAATCCCAGTAGCCCTCGTCGCTGTTTGGGACTCCTTCATGCTGCTCCTTCTCCCTGCCCTTCTGCTCCTCTTTGTGGTTGAGGTGAATGGGGATCTGGTGGAGGCCACCACGTTTCACTGCCACCCTGTTCTGGACCCCCTCGGTACCTCGGTTCTCCTTCAACCCCTCGAGCTTCTTTGTCCCTCCTCCACCTCTTCCTCCTTCTGTCTGGGTCTCCTCTGTCTGCGACAGCATATCCCAGAACTCCTGCAGGCAGGTGTCGTCCACCTGGTCGGGGCTGGCCATCTCCTCCCCTCCTCCCTGGTAGGCCACCATGGTGGGGTGCTTCTTGGAGGCACCCAGCTTGCCGGCCCCAGGGGTGCTCTTCTCGCAGCCGCCACTCCCGCTGCCCACATACTCCTCATGGTCCGCAATAATATCTCCACAGCCTGTAAGAGAGTCAAAGCTTTTCAGTGAAGTCACGTCAGCAAACATCAAACAAATACGATCAATCGATTGCTCTGAGGGTGGATCAACAGAGGAAGGGTCAGGGGCGGCTGCCGTCTCTTGACCGCTATCACAGTGAGGTTCAACAGGGGGGATAGTCGTTATTGGAATGTCACCTGTTATGGCCGCATCCTTGGCAGTCCCAACCTCTCCGGCGGCTGGGTCCGGTCTCTCGTGGCTGAGCTCCTCGGGTGGCCTTCCAGCGGCGGTGGTGCGGCGGTTCCAGCCCCATCTCTCCTGCGCTGTCGGGAGGTTCAGACAAAGGTTTTGGCGTCTCCTCTTTGATGCACTCCAGGCTGGCGGTCAAAGACCCCGGCATAATAAGACCGGCCTGGATCTCCGAGCTTTCCCCCCTCTCCTCCTTGCCATTTTTGTCCTTTTTATGCCATCGCATGCTGCTGAAGATCCCTTTCAGCCCCTTCTTTTGTCTGCCGCCAGCCCGCTGATCCGCGCTCTCCGCCTTGCCGCCCTCCGGCCTGCCGTTCTTCCTCAGCAGGGAGAAGAAG